GAGTGGGCGGGGCCCTGTCTGGCGTGAAGTGCTGAGGAGTCAAGCGTGAAACGTGGTGTATGCAGTTTATTCATTCTTCAAGATGGAAGCGGATGCAGGCCATCATATTCTCGGCGTTACCAAAGTTCAACAGCGGCAGCTTGTGACATTGTAGTAAAACCTGTTGGACGCATTTTGCAGACTGCCAATTCATCTCTAGCTGATTCGGGATCCGTGCTTGTGAAATCACCTGGGAAACACTGCAGAAAAGACGTACGGTAACATATCTGGACGATTTTGACAAAACGGTAGTGCGGCGGACTGTATTAGAATTTTACGGCCGAGGTGGATATACAACTGCAGAAAAATTAACTCTAAAGTTGCGAAAATACATCGAATATAAGGGAAGAGTGGTCAATATAACGCATTTTAAAATCTATAGGTTTTGAATATGTCCAATGCAAAGATAGTAGAAAGTTCCTCATGGAAAGTAGTGACATTGTGGAAGTTCGCGTTAGGTTTTTAAGAGAATTACACGAGATTCGCACTCGAGAACCTCACACCCTTACACATGCATTTATTATATGAATAATTCGAGAAATTATTTCTGGCAAACTCGAGATGGAGCAGGATTGAAAGTGCCGATAGGAAAGGGGCGCGGTCAGCCGAGACTGGATTCAAATACCTGATACAAAACTTGTTTTCCTCGCCAAAAATTCAAACAGTGCGGAATACCACTCGGATATGAATGCCGTCACATTCAGAGAATGAATTAAGAACAGCTTTCTTCATTACCTGCATACAAATTCAGTAGTTATGGACAACGCTCCTTATCATTCCATAGTTTAGAATAAGACACCAAATTCACACACACACACGTCAAAAGTACGTGATTGGCTGCAGGAGAATGGAACTGAGTACGACCCATCCCTGACCAGAGCAGAATAACTCCAAATTTGTAGAATTCACGCCAGTCCACGAAAGCAGTACGAATCAGATGAAATTGCGAAAGCAATGGGTCAGAGTGATTCGTTTGCCTCTTTATGTGCTCCTCCTGTGAAGTTGCTCGTCGAAACTGGCGTGGACATTTCCATAAATAAACGATTTCGGGCTTACAGCGGAAGATGTTGCGTGTGATGTTCGCATCAGAACGCTATAGGCCGAAACTCAATCAACATTGACTCCATCCATTGTAATATGAAGTTTATGAGTGACTGTAATTAAAAATCAGTAAATAAATGATTTATACCATCAAATATTTTTATTTCACCCAACGTCATCACCACGAAGAGCCTCCACCCCACAGCGATCGGGTGCTCGGCACAGCTGCTTAGTTGTGACGTCACGTTGCCCGCCAAGGTCGCCTCCCCAAGGCAAGACCTTGTGACGTCACACCACTCAGCGCCGGACGGCCACCGGATGCCCACTTCCGGTGCCAACACACTCCGCCGGATGTTTACTCCGGAGGTTATGGAACAGAATCGGCCGTTTTAGACCAGAAGTGGTACGACCATTTTCCCCTACTTGCACAGAAGACACTTCTCCACTCAGCATGTTACAGTTCCTGTTTTTTGACGTAATATTAATAAATAAATGAACGTGAGGATCAGAATATAGGTCGAACGAGAGGATGAGCATTGAGGTGGGGTGGGGGTGAGTATTCACCTTACGCTGGATCCTGCAGCCATAGGAAATCCTCTTCGCCTGGAAGGTTTTCAGATCTCCCTCGGTTTCACTTGAAAGGTATTCATTGCATAGGTTTAAGGTAAGATTAACTGACTCTCAAACCTAGAGGCTGGCCATTTTCTTTAATTTTAGGATTTTATCTGTTTGTCAGATCGACATTCGAAAATGGGTTGTCAGGTCACAGGAACAATCACCACCCGGAACATCTCGAATTTATCGATTGCCACAAAACGCTTTATTGCGCATTTTATCTCTGCGGTTTCCACTTACCACGGTGCCCAAAAGGGGGGCACTATTAGAGTGTCAAGGTTGCCAAAGGAATATAACAGGAAGTGGCATGAATTCCTGAGGCCAAGATATCCCCGGCCCACACTGGAGTTCAGTTCCAGCTGCAGAGTCAATGGATCGGGAGTGGGTTGGCCCCTGACTGCCCCGGTCTAACGAGGCCGAGGCCAAAAGTGTATTGGGGACACGCAGTGCACAATTTACCGCTTTTTCATATTAGAAACAGGTTAGATAGACAACACCTCCAAGCCAGTAAGTGAGTGAGCATGCACAGAACTCCCTTAATTCCTTGTCACCCATTCCTTTAGACATGGGCCGCCTTGCAAGGCAAACGCGAGTTGGCATTCAAATTACAGAAAAAGCCAGAGAAAAGGAAAGAAGTGATAAAAGAGTGAAGGTGACATACAATGGAGAATAAGAGTATGGAAGATACATGAGAGCCTTTTCTGAACACACAGGCCCCATCAGGGCATGGACCAACTGACCTCAAAGGGCAGTCTCCAGATGCAAATCCGATAAATTGGAGACATATGAAGCACGAACTTCTTGGGACAAAAGTATTCATTTTGAAGCAGTTAACAAGAGAAATTCGTTGCACTTGGAGGTACTTTTTAAATGAATAGACCCTCGACTTTGCCGAAGGCATGATTGGGAGATTACAAGCAATTATCCTTGATGGTGGTAACTAGGCACATTAACGACATCATCTTTGTTCTGATGAAGGAACCACGTACCTATCTATTTATAAATGCTTTTAAATATTTTTTCTGGGGACATGAACACTTTCTTCTTTAACCAACTGGAAATTATCATATGAACACAAATGATCAAGAAGATTAAAACCAGCAGCCACGAATTGCCTTTCTATAGTGGTTCTCGAGTGTCAAATGAAAGAATGTTTGTACCAAGAAGTTTATCTAGTTTCTAATAATTAGAACTATTATACATTAATCAATTCAAGGAAAATTTGTTTGCGTGAGCTCAATTGCTAAATTTTGTCTCCTACACAGATAAATTTATATAATTTATAAAAAAGTACTACATTGAGAAACAAACTAAATATTCCAAAACTTCTATTTATTCAGTAGCACCCTCCTCACACAATAGATATATGAGATCTTGCACAGTCTTATAAAATTAACAAGAATCAATGTTTTAGTAACAATGAACCAAATGATCAGATTTTTTTCCAGGAGACAAAACACTTAAGTTACAAACAGACACGTAACAGATTCAGGATGGCTGAGAATTGTTTCAAACCTTCAGGACATTTAAGTGTCACAAATTATTACGTCTTGCTGACGAACATGTGGGAAATTTCATGTAACTAAGTTACACATGTAACACCCCCCCCAATAGATAATCAACACATCATCCACTGACGTTTGGCCAGTACAAAAAAATATCTTCACATGACCCACGTAACACCAATGCACAATGAGTTACCTACCAACCAGGTTCAAGTGTCACATGTATAACTTTGTTAAATGATTTCTCAGTACATGTTCATTGGCAAAATGTGATCATCTTCAATTCCTATACATATCCAATAAGTTTGTCAAATGTATTCCAAGACTGTGTACTTAATATCACCATCTATACCTAAAACATCAGAAGACTCTCCACCAAAGTGACCAACACTCACTTAGAAATTCCCTAGATTGCTTTCGACTATATAAGTATGGGTATAAAGATAGAATTCAAATGTCTCTTAGTATAGTACCAGTGAATGCTAAATTAACACCACTGATCCTTGTTTCAGACCAAATTTATTTTCAGTGCATTTCTATTTGTAATTAAAATCAATATAAAGAAATGATATACTACATCCTGCAGAAATGACTTTACACACTATTGCAATAATAAGCTGATAAAACCAATCCGGATCACTAAAATGTAATAAAGAAATTCTGTACCAAAGATGAACAAACATTTATGAATTTCAAACAAAAGCAAAAGTTGTGCATTTAGGTGATAAAGACAATTAATTAGCCCAGATATAAAGCAGTTCACTATAAATTTGCTCTAATTACTCATGCAATCTATAATATAAATGATAGAATGGTGGTGAGTTCAAAAGTGATACAATTCATTCCATAACAAATAGAGGCAATACCAAGTGTACCAAATTTACCAATCATACATAAGTATAAAGTAAACATGTACACAATGATACAAAAACCCTTCTCGCAGAAATGCAAGCAGCTGAGACAAGAATCCTATTTGTCAGGAGAAAGGGACATGGCAAAACTATCTTTAGCGCTTGTAAAGGACATGGAACAATGAAATTTTAAATCTATGAACAAATATTTACACCACAAAACACATTACAATTCAATCCAATAAAAATCCATTCAAGTAGAGTCAGAAAAGAACAATAGAACCAGAAGTATACAGGGATAGAAACGGGAGCACACACCAACAAGAACGGGAACAAGATAAGGACATTAAAGTGAACATTAAAGGACAATATGTAATGCTATCTTTTGGGGGAAAGATGATAAATGTTTTCACATCACAAATGACTGTCTCCTATTCAAATGCACATTAATGGGTATTAGAAATGATCCACATTCCAAAGAGATCACATTTGGAGATAACATTATTTGATCTTTAATAACAAATAATTCATAATATTTCAAAAAATTTTGAGTTACTAGATCTATAAAGCACTGACCGGTCTCAAAATAAGAGACATTTTAAATTTTAATTTCATCATTTTTTGAATTAAAAAAATTGCTTGCAAAATTTTATTAAACTGCAACTATTATTGTTGGAATAAAGTACAAAAAGGAAAATTTTCAAAAGTACTTTCGTAAAACTGGAGGCTAAACTTCAAATTCCAATCATTAAATGGTCCAATGACTCGTGAATTTTAGAAATTTATTTTCAGGCTATAAACACTGCCTGTACAACTTGACTCTCATACACTCCACTGAATTAGGATGTTTTAGGGACAAAACTTGGCAAACATTCTCATACTAACAAGAAATATTTATACATTTTCATAAACACAAAAAAAAAAAAATTGAAAAAATAATTATAAAAACCTTTCTGCCAGTGATGACATTGCACAAGGAACAATGAGGAAAATTGTTGCTTGATTGACTGTTGTACACACGTTCGGCAATCAAATCTTGGTCAATTGATGTCATTAATTCTGATGTGGGATTAATTGACCCTGTAAATAAAACCAAAAAATATTTATAAAACTGACATAAAATACAAAGATCTGTCAGTGCATAATACAAAAAATGTTATTGCTTGAACAGTATAAGCATTTTTCAATCCAGAATTCATTATTCAGTTATAAAAAAGGAATAAAACAGCAACACAATTAAATATTATCTGCTAACAAGAAAACATGCCTAAGATGATTTTAAAAGGAATAAATTACAATAAAAACACAACCTATTGAACCAAAATTGTTTAGATGACACTTGAAATGAGAAAATAGAAGTACTGTAGACAGCAAATATGAGAAATGAAATTTAGACAATATCTCAAAATGGAAAGAATACAACTATGGTATAAAATTAGAGAGATACAGAATAAGATAGTAAAGATAAAATTGCAGTAACTGATGTGCCTGACTTAATAAAAACAGAAACAAAAAAACATTGTCTTACAGAAAAAGAAGGGAAAAAGAGTGTAATAACTGTCAACTTCTAAGCTTAAATCTAATTCCTAGCACTACCGTTATGAAATACATAGAACAGCAATTCACAATCTATGGGCAGTGACCTGCACGTGGGCTGCACATACCAACTTACTGGCCTACAGTACGCTTGCCAAAAGTCGTGGTAGGAACACTTGTTAACTGAAGTATCATGTGACCAGGCTCTAAAATAATTTTTTAAAACATCATTGATACCATTCGGATACATGTTCAGCAATAATATCCAGCAATTGCTAAACTGTACTGAGACATTTGATGGGAGTTCTCAATCACAGTGAAAACATGCTTTCTCAACTTTTGTTGTTGTTGTTGTTGTTGTTGTTGTTGTTTTTAAAAAGGACAGAAACCAACTGAATGTAGAAAGTGACTTCAGTCTGAAACTGACAAGTTTTAATGCAGATATTGATTTTCTTGAGGGAGACAACATGTCAAAAATCTCACGGAGTTTTTGCATTTATTTTGAGTCTTGATTGTTTGTTTTGAGTTCTCATAAATCGTGACAGCTAAAAAATGAATTTTTTCTTTATAAGCAAAATATTTTTAACTCGTTTATAAAATGTTTTATTAATTAATATATATGTACAAGGGGGGGGCCTTCTGTATATTTAGTTAGTGGGTCTCAAAAAATTTGTAACACAACAGGGGGCCTGCAAAACCAAAAAGGTTGGGGAACCTCTGCTCTAGAACTGTGGCAGCTTGTGTGGGTGTTTTAGTGATGCTGTGAACCTCCATACAAATTTCTGTAAGAAGAGAAAAAAAATATTTGAATGGGAAATGAAGAGATAATAAATCTTATGCTGTTCGTAGTGGAGCTTTTCAGCAAATAACTGCATCCATTATAGGTAGCATAATCTGATGGTCCAATGCAATGAGTGATGACATGGAAACTTCACGGGAAACCTTTGTTGACCACCACCCACCCACAGGCATGTGACAGTTGGCTTTCTTTAGTGTCTCTTACACTGTTAGGGACACACTTCATATTTGCATCATGTTTGTCATCACACTTTTTCTTCTTTTTTACTGCATTCACCATGTCCAAGCTAGACTGAATTTCACTATTTTTTAACTTGTGAAACTTTTTATGATCATAAGTCCAACCACTATTGTTGGACAGAACTGCCACTGATAAGTTGAAGCATTTTCCTCAGTGGTACTAACTCCTTTGCCATTTTCAATGATCATTAATGTTACAAAAATAACTTAGAAGACTCTCTATTTGCAAACCCATAATGTTATACGAACTCGTGGTATTGTGGCGATAAAATTAATTTCTGGAAGTTGTATTTGCTATGTTCTCTATAACCGATGTTGAGAGTTTATTCTAAAGTGGCAGCTAGTCCCTAAGCAGCACAAAAACAATTACATTTGAAAATATCAGTGTTTGTTTAATTCACCTATCAAAAATCTGTTGAAGAGCCTGACAATTATTGTGAAGATCAGCTTTGATTTTTCTTAACACACGAACCTACACATCCACCTCTGAGGTAATCTGGGGTCTGCCCAGAGCTGATTCAAAGCCATGAACTAGAAAGCTTGATGACATCACATACAACACCAGAATTAGTGTTGTGTGTATGCACTAAAATGCTGGCCATTAAGCTTCTGAAGACAGTAAGATTTGCAGCACAAAGCAGTGCCTCACAGATCTGCCATCTACCAAGTAGTTTCATACTATATATTATGCGACTGTCAACAAATGGTGCTGATAGTCACCATAGTGAGATCCAATATCGGACTTGAACATGCAAAACTATTTTAACATTTACATTTTAACAACTGACAAAATAAAATAACACAGAATTTTCAACACAAACTCGATTACCACATGAATGAAATTATTTTTGTAAGTAAAATTTTAGAAGCAGACATTATCAATTTCATGTAATGTATTTTAAAAATGGACAATAATACAAACAGTTTTAAAGATAATTTTAGAGAGTAATTTTGAACAGTTTCAAAAATGACTTCATAAAAATCTATTATCTACATATAAATACAAGGGAACATGTATACGTATTTCACACAAAAGACGCAAAAACTACTCGACCCATTATGCTGAAAATTTTACACTTTGTTCTTATTAGTAACGTAGTGTTTAAAGAGTGATTTGAATGGGACAAGTGAGGGCGTTGTTGTTGATATATTCGTTTATGACTCAAGCGTCCCCGGACTATATGCAACCCCCCGCACAGTCAAGGATTAAGCGCTTCTTCCCAGCATACAAGTATTATGCCCCTACAATTGTGAAATATCGGCCGGAATTATTACTTGAATCTCGGACAAGTAAATCAAATTTGTGATTAACGTGATTAACGATTACGTGACCAATAGTGTGTGATGTGTAAAAGACTGCAATAGCGAAGCATTGACGGGACCATTAGTACTTTAATATTAATAGAGTCCGGATTTCTATTCAGTAAAAATGCCTAAAATATGCAATATAAAATTCACAAGGAAATAAATGTATTACTAAAATCCAATGCAAAATACTTGTAGAGAAATTTGAATTGAGTTACGATGGTATTGCCTCTTTGAAACCTGAACAAAGGAATCATCAGTAGAAAAATATGTTTGGAAAAGAATTTTTGACAGGCCCTACTGACGACTATGGAGAACTAGTGATGCGACATCGATAACAAAACACCGATGTTCAAAATACATCAACTAAAAACCATCGATGTTTTTAGACTGGATTAGTATTCTCGAACGTTGAATTCTTGTGCATTAAAATTTAACTTGACAGTGTTCGTGTTTATCAATTCGCTGAATAAGGATACAAGAAGAAGGGGGCAGACCCTACACCCACAGCGTATTTGTTGACCATATCTCATTGTGCGAAACGAATATGAAGAAAGAGGAAATACAAGAGCATAGAGGTCATCTCGGGCGAGAGAGTTTGGTCGATGAAGGTAGCTTTCTTTGGTTCCAATACAAGAATAGCAGTGTTTCTGTCAATTGTTATTTCATATTTTAACTTTAAGAGTATTGCGATGGGAATTTTGCCTTCAGAAATAAAACATCGGAAAAGAAAAAACATCGATGTTCTGAAAACATCGACATCGATGTCGCATTCCTAACGAGCACATGGTGCGGTGAAGTCCACACGTAAGCTCTCGCTTCCTGGAAAATGATCTCTTAATAGCTAAAGAAACCACGGTCCATCACAGGTGTTTATTTCATTCGAGCCCGAGACACCGAGAGCGACGTTCCGTGCCCCCTCACCCGAAATTAAATCTTACTTTTGTTCGCACACGTGGTACAAGCAAAATGCACTACAATTACATCCGTTGGCAACAGTTTTGGAGCTAAAACGATACTCACTTCTTTATGGCGACTGGTAAGCTGTTCCATAGACTAAGAAGTTTAATTTAAATAAATTATTACTACTGCCTTATTTATCAAAAATGTAAGCTAAATATGCTAAAATATAACAAAATATGCAAAATAAAATACGTCAGGAATAATCAAAGTGGGCAGATTTGTCAAGATGCGCGATCATTTTCCAAATAACAACTAGCAAATAAAATACCCATTTGCATACAGACCCGGTCCCTATTTATAATATATACTTTGGTGAGGGGGGGGGGGGTACCATTCTTCCCACCAGGGCCTCGGTCTGAAGTGTCGTGGGTTTGAGTCCCACCGTGGGAATGGTTGTTGGTCCCTTGTCTTTCATGTATGCGTGTTGTTGCGGAAGGCTTTGTGAGTCTGCTGACCACAGACCAAGGAGCCCGCAAGTGTGCCTAGTATAGTTGTGTAGGTTTCCGTGTCTAGTGTAAAGGTTAATATCAGTGGCGAAGCTGAAAAGTCATCTGGGAGCCTTAAAATACCCAAATTATTTTTAAACAAATTTTTTTATGTGTGCCTTTTTCCATATTTTTTTACATAATCGTTGAAGAAAATAAATGTTTTCGACTTCTTTTTTCCCAGCTTAGGCCTCATTCACAAAGCAAACTTAAACGTACCGTAACGCAGTGCCGTATACTAACGGTAAACTTTACACGTAGAAACAAGCATTCCCAATGACGAAAGTAAGCTGGAAAGTAAGTTTCGCTTGAGCCAATCAGATTTCAAGGAATTGAAGCTTGATCGATTAGTTTTTGGCACGGTGAAAAGATCTTTCCGCCACGGTTTCTAGCACTCTCTTCGATTTTCTTATCGATGTCTTTATATAAAAATGCGAATACCTGTTGCATTAGTGCTCGCATTTCCTTGACTTCGTAAACAAGGCTCTCTTGTACCAAATACACGAGTTATTCCTGGGACGTAATTATTTTAATCGCCACGTCAAGTTAAAGTCACAAGAAAAATGGCCCAAATTCTTACTTTGAATTCACTACTCGCATCAAAATCAGTTCGCAAACTAGTTCAGTATATAACAGTAATGAAATGACATAACCACAAACTACCTGTACACAATCCACGTTTGTTTCTTCATGCTGCTCTCTGATTGGTCGTCGGTAGAATTCCGTCGTAAACTTAACGTAAAAGCTTGGCGC